CAGTTTAAAGTCTATTTTGTCCGATATTAGGATTGCTACGCCTGCTTTTTTCTTAGTGCCATTTGCTTGGTATATTTTGTTCCATCCTTTCAGTTTGAGATAGTGTCTGTCCTTGAAAGTGAGATGAGTTTCTTGCAGACAAAAAAAGATGGGTTTTGTTTCTTAATCCATTCACCTAGTCTATGTCTTTTGACTGGGATGTTCAGTCTATTAATATTTAAAATTATTAATGAAAGATGAGTATTGAATCCTGTCATTTTTATTTCTGTTTATATTCTTAATATAACTGTACTTTTCCACCGTTATACCTTCATTGAAGTTCTTTCTGCAATCCCTTGGGTATAGTCGTTCCTTTCTTCAGCACTTTGTATTGCTTCCAGAACTCTCTGTAGGGATGGTTTTGTGAACATGAATTCCTTCAGCCTATTTATGTCATGGAAGATTTTTCTTTCACCTTTGACTATAATAGACATTTTGGCTTGGTATAGTAATCTGAGTTGGCATTTGTGGTCATTTAAAACTGGGAATGCTTTGGTCCAGGCTCTTCTGGCTTTCATAGTTTGCACTGAAAAGTCAGCAGTAAGTCCTTTATATGTGACTTGTTTTTCTTTTGCAGCTTTCAGTATTGTCTCTTTTTTTTTTTTTGTAGGTTTGTTTACTATGTTGTACTGTGGAGAGTTTCTTTTCTGGTCCCGTCTGTTTGGTGTTCTATATGCTTCTTGTATTTTTATGGGCATGTCTTTCTTTAATTTTGGGAAATTTTCTTCCAGTTTCTTTTCTGTTCCTGTCTGTTTGGTGTTCTGTATGCTTCTTGTATTTGTATGGGCATGTCTTTTTTTAATTTTGGGAAATTTTCTTCTACAATCCTGTTGAAGATGTGGTCTATGCCATTATCTTTATCTTGGGATTCTTCTCCTTCCTGTATGCCTATGAGTTGTAAGTTTGGTCTTTTTATGGTGTCACACAATTCCTGGATATTCCATTCTTGTGCTTTCTTGAATTTTTCATAATATTTGCTTGAGTGGTCTATTTCGTCCACTTTATCTTCCAGTCTTGATATTCTGTTTTCCATTTTGTTCATCCTATTGGTACGGCTTTCTTCTGTCGTTTCTAATTGGCTGAGTGTTTCACTTCCTTCTTCATTTCAGCCTGAGTATTCTTCAGTATTTCTAACTCTTTTCTGAATTCATTCAGAAGTTTATCCCTATCTTCCTTCAGTTCTTTGATTTCTTTGTATGTGTCTTGTTTAAATTCACTGAATTCTTTTATCATGTTTATGAGTTCCATGTCCTGCATTATCTCTAGGGGGTTCTCACCTCTAGAGGACTATTGGTATTTGGTGGGGATATGTTAATTTGGTTTTTCATGTTATTTTTTTCTCTGTGATTTTGACATGTGAATTTCTTTTGTAGTTTCTGATTCTTGTGTGAGACTCAAGCCTTCAAGTTTAGGTCTGCTTCTTTTTGTGAACTTTATGTGTCTTTGTGGTTTACTTTTTGAGCATGAAAAGCTGGCTCCTCTAAGCCTCCTGTTCTCTTTTGATTTTATATTGGAGTGGTCAGATTGCTTTTGTCTTCAAGAGTTCCCACAGAGGCCCAAGTCAGATGTGGAACAGAGGCTCTCAGGCTTTCTCCTAAGGTCAGGATCCCTCCAGGAAAGATTTTAGCCTCAGGAATTTCAGGCTTGTACTGGCCTGGGAGCCGGGCCCAGGAAAGATGCTGGTCTAGGGCAGCTGGTGGCCATGCCACCCAGAGATGCAAAGGAAGATGGGGCCAGGAAACGGTCCCAGAGGCTCCTTGGGACTGCACTGAGGAGCTGGGTTGGTCCGGATGCAAAGGATCAGGAAAAGGAAAAGTCAGTCCCGTAGGCCAGCAAAGAGGCTGGCAGGTCGTGCAGGCCCAGGGAAGTAGAAGGAGGTGAGGGCAGGGCCCTCTGAGGGCTCCTGGGACCTGAGAAGGAACTGAGTTGGTCTGGATGTAAAGGATCGGGAAGCAGTGGTGGTTCCCCAGGTGTCTGGGGCACCAAGACAAGCAATGGGACAGGACCCAGGCTAGGAGGAGAGACCGGCGCAGAGATGGGAGCGTGAATGAGGTTGGGGTGTCAAGCTGTGGAGGGCGCCATCGACTTACCCCGGAGAGAGAGGCCTGTGGGCAGGAGAGAGGCCTGGGAGTCGTGCAGGCCCAGGGAAGCAGAGCATATTAATTCATTTTTTTGAGGCAGAGTGTTTCAATAAATACAGAGCTCACTGACTGACTGATTAGCTAGCCTGGCTGGCCACTCAGTCTCTTGCAATCTGTTTCTGCCTCCCAACACTGTGATTATAGTTGTGCTCTCTCATGCCTAGTTTATGTGGGTGCTAGGCATCTGACTTAGGTCTTCATGTGTACAGCAGCCACTTTACCCACTGAGCTATCTCCGTAGCCCCATTATTGATTTTTTGAAAAAAAATATTCATTGAAAGATGGGTGTGGTGGTATATGCCTATAATCCAGCACTTGCAAGGTAGAGGTAAGATGATCAGGGGTTCAAGGTTAACCTGGGGTGTGTAAGACTGTCTCCAAAACTTTTGTTGTTGTATGAGTATGAGGCTCATACAGTGAGATTGAAAATGTCATTTTGAGGGGAGAAAGACTAAGTACTAATTAAGGTGTATGATGGTACACACCTGTAATCACAGGAATTGGGAGGTAAAGGCAAGAGGATCAGGAGTTTATGGTCAGCTTCAGCTAAATAGTAAGTTTGAACCCAACCTGGATTACATGAGACCCTGAGATAAACAGATAACAGCAACAAAAAAACTATCTCAGAAAGTATGACTTAGCAGCCTGAAGAAATGGCTCAGCAGTTCACAGTGCTTGCTTCTCTTGGCAGAGGACTGGAGTTCATGTCCCAGCACTCATGTCAGGCAGCTCATAACCATAAATAACTTCAGCTCCAGGAAATCTGACAACCTTTTCTACCCTCTACGGGCACTTGTATTCATGTACACATACCCATCCCCCAACATGTGTAATTAAAAATATATTTTTTTTTCTTTTTAAAGAATGAGCCAGGCATGGTGGCACACGCCTTTAATCCTAGCACTTAGGAGGCAGAGGCAGGCAAATCTCTGTGAGATTGAGGCCAGCCTGGTCTGCATAGTGAGTTCCAGGCCAGTTGGGGCTCCAGGGAGACCGTGTCTTAAATAACAATAAGACAATGGGAAAAAATCAGATTAAAAAAGAATGTATAACTCAGGAAAGTAGGGAAGAATTCTCATCAGATGAAACATGATATTTATGTTTGTGAATGGCTTACATTTACACACAAAAATTGATAAGGGGCTAGAGAAATGGCTCAGCGGTTAAGAGCACTGACTGCTCTTGCAGAGGACCCGAGTTTGATTCCCAGAACCCACATGGTGGCTAACAACCATCTGTAACTCTAGTTCCAGGGAATCTGATGCCCTCTTCTCACCTCTGTAGATATGCACAACACAGGTGCATTTACATACATGCAGGCAATATACTCATACACAAAAATAGAATAAAATATTTTTATAAAATTAAAGATTGAAGAGATTAAAAAAAAAACCTTGGATTAAGCAGGGGAGGCAAAAAATAATTATATGCACTTTGTAGGATATTTTGTCCCTGATTAACCATACTGTAAAGATTTAGAAAAATGGAAAATGCTTAGTGACTCTTCAGATACTTCTTACTGGAAGTTTTTTTTTTTTTTTTTTTCTTTTTTTTGGTTTTTTGTTGTTGTTGTTATTATTATTGTTTTATTGTACTGTAAGCTCTTGTCATTTTCCCCCTGGGTGCCTGATAAAAAGTCAGGAGAGAGCCGGGTGTGGTGGTGCAGGCCTTTAATCCTAGCATCCAGGAGGTAAAGGCAGGCAGATCTCTGAGAGCCCCAGGCCAGCATGGACCACATAGTGAGCTCCAGGCCAGCTGAAGCTACAGGGAGATCCTTATTATTGTTTTATTGTACTGTAAGCTCTTGTCATTTTCCCCCTGGGTGCCTGATAAAAAGTCAGGAGAGAGCCGGGTGCGGTGGTGCAGGCCTTTAATCCTAGCATCCAGGAGGTAAAGGCAGGCAGATCTCTGAGAGCCCCAGGCCAGCATGGACCACATAGTGAGCTCCAGGCCAGCTGAAGCTACAGGGAGATCCTGCCTCAAAAAGATCCAAAAAAAAAAAAAAAGTCAGGAGAGGGATAGGGGAGTGGGAGAGGGAGGGATTACATTTCAGACACAAAGCCATAAATCTTGTGGCTTAGATTTAAAACGTGTGAGCAATTACAAATTTGAGATACTCTTAATCCAGGTGTGCTGGAAACATGCCTGTAATTTCACCATTTGGGAGGTGGCAAGAGGAACAGAAAGTGAAGTGAGGCTATAACCTCAAACCTCAAAGCCCCCAGTGATTCCTCCATCAAGACTCTACCTCCTAAACCTCCCCAAACAGTGCTACTAACTGGGAACCAAGTTTTCAATTCATGAGTGTATGGGGGATAGTTCTCACTCAAATGATAACACAGTCATTAGAAGAGTCTTTAGCTCTCCTGTCTGATGATTCTGAGCTGCAGAGAGAAGACTTTTGAAGGGAAGGGGTGGGGGAACCTTAGAAGAAGGGATGAGTCCTCTGGGGCAGTACATTTGAGCTGCTCCTCTCTGCTGGCAGGTGGAGGAGGAATTGCAGGAGCAAGACTTCTTGGACCGCTGTTTCCAAGAGATGCTAGATGAAGAGGACCAGGACTGGTTTATCCCAGCACGAGACCTGCCTCAGGCTGTGGGACACTTGCAACAGCAGTTAAACTCACTAACAGTCAGTGACAGTCATGAATCTGAAGATATTTTGGTAAGAACCGTTAGTTCACATGTAACATACTGACAGGATTGTGGGGTTTGGAGTCACAGATGCTCTGTGTGGCCCTACATACTGCATCAAGTCTCTGGAGCCACTCAGCTGTCATGTCTTCACTCCTCAGATGGGCATCCTGATGGGTTCCATGAAGCCATGTTGCTCCTCAGCACTGTAAAACGGTTTGCCATCAGCTTTCATTTATCTGATGCACTGAGTTGGGATAAAAATTTGAGGTTTGGATTCAGTGGACCATTAACTATTGTCTTTCTTGTCTACCGTCCTATTTTTTTCTTTTTCTTTTATTCTTTTTTCGAGACAGGGTCTCTGTAGCCCTAGCTGACCTGGAACTCACTATGTAGACTCAGGCTGGCCTGGAACTCATAAAGATCCACCTGCCTCTGCCTCCCAGGTGCTGGGATGAAGGCTTGTGCCACCACGCCCGGCCTTTCTCTTTTACTGTCTGTGAAGCTGGTTGGTAAGAATCATTCTATTATAAAAACTTTCTGTTCCTATCAAGAGGAACACATTTCTGACAGGCCATTTTCCACTTCCATTACACAAGAGAAGTGAGTTCTCTGATGTCAGAATTCCGTGAACATTGTATTTCCCTTACAGCTCATGTCCTGAGTTATTGCCCTGCAGTGAGCTGAGATTCAGGGTATTCACAAGAGCACCAATGAGTACAGAAAGATGAGAAAAAATAGAGATTCTTTGACTTCATGGAATACTGTTTTTCACTAAGTTATGAATCTGTTCAGTGAATGAAAATGCTCTTTGTGGAGTGAAACTTACAGGGAAAGTATCTTGGAGGGAATGGAGTGGGAAGCAGGAAGGAGGAGGAGCCTGGTCAGGGTGAATAATTAGGAACCTCTAAGACCAGTCCATCAGTGACAGCCTGAGGCCCTGCAAAGAATCATCTTCTCTTTTTTTGCAAGGCTGGGGATTTGAACCTAGAGCCTTATGCATGCTAGACAAGTACTCTACCACTGAGCTGCATCCCTAGCCTGAAAATAAACTTTAAAGTGCAATATGACATGAAAGCAGACAGAAGGCTATTTGGGTAGGGAGAGACAAGAGAGGAGGAATATGATATATTATATATATATATATATATATATGATGCATATATTTAATGTTATGATGAAGGCCCAGTGTGGTAGGTAGCACATGGTTTTAATCCCAGCACTCTGGAGGTAGAGGCAACCTGGTTTACATAGTGAGTTATAGGACAGCTAGGGTGACATAATGAGACCTTGTCTCAAAAAAAAAAGTTTTAATAAGACTCATTATTTTCTATGCTAACCAAATTAATAAATTTTTTAATGATGAAAAAGAAACTACAGCTTGCTTTGAGATAATATTATCTCTTGGTTCTTATTTCAGAGCAAAAGTAACCTAAACCCAGATGCCAAGGAGTTTATTCCAGGAGTGAAGTACTGAGCTGACAGAAGTTACCAGAAGGACTTGTCTGTCCCCAGACCTTGGGCACAGAAAGGCAGAGCTGAAGGGGGTGGTAAGGTATGCAGACAGCTGGGTTGGGTTGGGAAAGGGTTAGCTGGACACTGACTGAAGTAACTGAAGTGCTCCATGTGGCTTGCCACGCCTCTTAGTACTGGGCTTCCGCTGACTGGCTTAGAGCACTTTCCCATTTTGTTTTGTTATGGTTTTTTTGTGAGCTCCTTGGAGTTAAGGAACCCGCAGTTGTTTTTTCCTTGTCAGGAATGTTCTGCTGTCTGTGTTAAAGCAAAATAAGCTGCTCAAGGAAAGTGGTATTTAAGAAATACCCCCTTCTTGCCCTGCATTGTACCTACCAGGAATGAGGAACACCTGGAGAGCTACTTGAGGAGTCTGTGAAGCTGGTTGGTAAGAGAAGCTGAAGGAGCTGAGGATGAAAGTCAGACCATGAGTTCAGTTCCCATGACCTCTGGCATTTCCATAATGAACTGGGTTACCAATGGCCCACTAAGCCCTTGTCTCCCTGCCCTGAACCCCATACAAGAAAACACAGACTTAAAAGTTCTTGGCTGAATGTAACTTTGAACGGATGGAAGTTGTATGTCAGAGAGGAGGGTTTGGTGGTAATTGTCCATTACTGCTGTCCTGATGTGGTACTGCGTGCAGCTGCTGTCACTCATCATTTATAAGGTGATAGATCTGTAGAGCTGCTTTGCCATCTTGATCCTCATGAAATCTACTCCCAGCTCCTTTCCACCACAGCTCTACTTGGCAAAAGTCCACCAACCCTCATTTCTGGCCATAACCGTGAGCCTGGAGAAATCCTTGAATTATGTTAGTTATGTCTTGAATCTGTTTGGACAGATTTTGTTTTGTTCCCAAATCCAGTCAATACCTGGCTCTCTGTCTTAATTCCCTGAAAAAGATTTCTGTACTTTTTCAAGGAAATACATTTTTCTGGGTACTATCAAGTAGTTCAGTTCCATTTGGATGCTTCTTCTGCCTTACAGAATGATGCCAGGGAACTCAGCACGGAGAAGAGTACCTGGCCCTCCATGTGCTTCAAACTGTTATGGAGTGTTACTGCTCCCACTTGGGTGAAAGAGTGAGCATCCTGTCCTAACTGGACTTCCCAGACAGGGACTTGCAGAGGCCTGACAGTGTTATGGTCTCTGTGTGACTGCCATTGTGCTGTGTGATAAGTCTGGAAGGGAAAGATCATGCAACTTCAAATAAAGTCAGTGTCAGTTTAGCATGCATATATGTGACTGAGGTTGGAATGAAAGGACTGGTATCTAGAAAGTTGAAATTTTTAACTTTTTCTTATTATCTCCTTTGCTGACTTGATTTTTTTGGTTTTGTTTTGGTGCCAGGGATGGGATACCCAGGACTTCACTAAGCTAGGTAAGCCCTACCTTGAGCTGTGTCCCACCCTTCCGTGTTGACTTGTAGGCAACCCTAGGCTGATTGAAACACAAACCTCCATCTTTTTCCTTGTTTCAAGCTCATAGGATAGTATCTCCTGAAGATGACCTTCCTGCTCAGGTCATATCATAGGAGAGTAGCTCAGGAACTTGGACAGACAGACAGACAGACAGACAGACAGACACACACACACACACACACACACACACACGATTCCTATAGCCTGTTGGGAGGTCAGAATACTGAAGACTGTTGGAAATGTGTTGGGATTGGAGAAACTGGGTGTCTCCATCAGAGTACAGTGCACTCTCCTTTGACCACTGGGCTGGAAAGTTCTGTGCAAGCTTGAGGAGTCCTTGTTCCATCCTGAAGTTTAGCTCTCTAGAAGCCAGAGTAGGCCAAGCTGCTAGATGTGGTCTGAGAGGCTCATCCTACCTCCTGCTGTATTAGCTCATTTTATTTGAATGTTAGTCTTCAGCCTGGTTTCACAAGGTATATTTGATTAGTACTATAATGCTGCTGAATGTGCCTGGAAACTGGAGAGGCAATGTACTGGCCCCAAGCTTGAGAAGCAGCCAGTGAGGTGATCTGTGCTTAACCAGTAGAATGCCTTAGGCTTCCAGTGCTTCCTTCTGTGGCCCAGCTCTTCTGTTGTCTAAATTGTGCCCCAGACCACAGGCTCAGCCCTAGTTAGCTTACCAACTTAATAGAAAAGTCTTGTGGGACTTGTAGACCTAGGGGCAAGCTAGGAACATCTGTATCCAACTTCTCTGAAGCCCTAAGCCAGGCTATACATCATTACCTTTCGGTGGTGAGACGTGTCTATAAGTCATCATTTTGATGTTGAATTTAAGCCACTATTTTTTTTTCAACTATGAGTTTAATAGAGCACAGAATTTTTTTTTTTTTTCAAACAGTCTGGTTGCTAATCTGGCTGGTCTCAGGATTCATTTGTTAGAGACTAAGTTCTGGTTATTGTGGTTATTTGACCCTGAAACTTCATGATGAAAATTATTTCTCTCTCTCTTCAGGGGATGGAGAGAATGAAGGAAAGCCTTTTCAGGCATTTTAGACTACTAGAAATCTGAGGAGGTAGCCCAGGCCTGGGTGTTATAGTTCTGGTTCTGGGGCTAGTTTCTGTCATAGAGTACTCGACTTTTTAAATCATATAAGCAAACCAGAAAAATCTAAAGTCTGGGTTTTTTTTTTTAATTGAACCCAGGACCTCAGATAAGCACTACCACTGAGCTTTGTGGTTTAGATGTGAGGATGGGAACCCATTAGAGGTCTGACAAACTTGACTAAAATTGACTAAAATTTGGAATTGCACACCCAGTGGGAAAGCCTATTTTAGCTACTCTTCTCCCAGAGAACAGGGACACTTTGTCAAATGGAGAGAGAACAGGAGGGCTGATGTGTGTAGCAGGCACCCTGACTGCCTGCCTGTCTATGGTTGCCATAGGACTTAATGCCCCAGGAATGGTCAGTCCTGGTGGTTGTTTGGTACAGTGGGTAAGCATCTCCACCACCTGTTCTGGTGCCTTGAGGATTTCACCACAGACTTGATCAGTCTCAACTTGAAAGGAGGTGGGGTTCTTTCTCCCATTTTTAAACTCCCTTGTAGAAGCTGCTGCTGGTGACAGGAACTGAATGTAAATCTGCTCAAGGAAACATTAAAGTTGACTGTACCACCCCACCCACTGCTGGTTTGGGGTAGTCTACTTTTCCTGAGAGTCAAGGAAATAGTACACCTGGCTACTGTTCTCTGTTGGGGGTCAACATCTTTTTGTTTTGAGTCAGGGCCTTGATGTGTAGTTCAGGATGAACTTGAACTTCTGATCCTCCTGGCTCAGCCTCCTCCGTGCCAGGTTTAATAATGTACAGTTACTTTCATTTCAGTGCTGAGCATCAAATCAGAGATTTCATGTTAAACAGGTATTCTACCAGTGAACTACATCCCTAGCCTCCAAAATGTATTTCCTATTAAAACAGAAAATGTTTCACTCTAAATCCACACTAAGAGCTCTCTCATGCCAATTGTGAGCCAACAGCGATAAAAAATGGGGTCCTAACTTAAAAGTGAAACTGCTTTGGGCTGGGGATGTAGTTCAGTGGTAGTGCTTGCCCAGCAGCACTTCTATCACCCTATATTCAATCTCAATACTCAAAACATACTCTAATGATGCATATTGTACAAATCATGAACCTCATTCAAGTCACTGACTTTAGTAGTGTTCTTTGGTGCTGGAGCAATAACCAGTTTCATCCCTTCAATAAAACCCTTCATGCTTTCAGTCAGGGTTCACAGCTGCAGTTGCCATAAGCCATGCTGTCTGCACATGTACCTTTCATGCAGTGGAGTCGGTCACTCTGTGGTCTTTCATTTAGCATGTTTTTAAGGTGTGTTTTCATTGCTGGGCAGTTTCCCATTGTTGAATATGCTGCATTTTGTCAGCAGAGAGCCCTTTAAACTTCCTGTGGTCTACATGGAACCCTCCAAATACAGGATTCACAGGGAGCTGCTGTGTCATCCAATCTATAGGAGCTTCAGCCACTGCAGAATTTTTTTTATAATTTTGCAAGTTTTTTGTAAGGAGCCTTTGTGCTGTCCACTACACATCAGGACTTTTGAAGCATCTGATAAGTCCATTTAACAGAGAGCATGTGAGTAGACATGGAAGTGAAACTTTACTATTTCTCCCAGACCAGATGTGGGATCTCTGGATTTTCTACAGACAATAGTGTCCCCAGGTACTGGAAGGTTGTGCAGGCTCTGCTGGATACATGTGTGGGAAAAGAGGGGCGATGGTGGGGGCAAAGAGGGCCAATGGTGCAGGTGGAAGATCGAGTGCAGCCTGTGGAACCAAAAGCCCAAAGGAGGTCTGCCTGGCCCAGCAGCTGTGTGGGTACCCACAGTGAGGTGCCAATGCCTGGAAGCCAGGCACCCCCAGCTGACCCAGGTCTAGACTTTGTACCTTTATCCCTGTTACAAGTATTTAAGAACTCGTTTCCCTCACCACCCCACCCCCCACACTACAAATTACCTAGCAGTTACTAATATTTCTTGGGGAAGGGATAAGGCTTTAAAATTATAATTTTCATTAAAGCATCAGAAGTAGGGAAGGGTTACTTTAAAATTTTGTTCTACAGACTGAATGGCAGTTGTTGAAAATCTCAATATTGAGAATAAAGTGCACTTGGAGTGGAACCTTTGTAAGCTTGGGCCACTGTCACCACAGGGGTCTGGGTGTGATGTGGAGGTTTTCTCCAGATGGATCAGTTGCCTAGTTTCCCTTCCAAGTAGGATTACAAAGGAGCATCGCCTGTGTCTAGGAGTCCCATCTTTGCTTTCTCTGTGCCCTTTGGAAAAGGTGTGACATATCTTTTAGGCTGTTACAAAAATCAGAACTTTAAAATGTGCACTCAGCACTGTGGCTCCAGCTAGAAAGAAAACTAATTTTTCTGTTTGGCAAAGTCAGCTTCTCCCTAGAAAACAAAAGGATTTGGTAGCTGTCTTTCAATTCTGATAAGTCTGAAGGCCTGCTACACACCTTGCATCACCTTAGGCACAGGCTTTAGGGTTAAGTAGCTTGCTCTGAGGTTACACTTAGTGATATGCGTGCTAATAATTCACCCCACAGTGAGATTGAATTTGCCTATGAATTTAGGGGTTTTAGCATTTTGAGAGACCTCACCACCAGGCTAAGGCCCAGGCTTTGCTTTGAACCCTTATTACCTTCCCAGAATTAGGGAAGGAAATCTAGATTGACTCAACTATTCATAACTTGAGATACTATCATAGGCAGGTTACAGCCAACCTGTTAAGGGACGATGTGCTCATTCTTAAAGTTTCACCAAGTGAAACTGAAATGTATATTCAAATACAGACATTTAAAATGTGTAAGGGTTTGGTGGTTAAGAGCATTGGCTGCTCTTGCAGGGGACCTGGGTTTGGTTCCCAGCACCCATGTGGTAGCTAGCAACCCTGTTAACTCCACATTCAGGGGATCAGGCCTCCGTGAGCACTGCATGTGCATAGTGCACTTACATACATGCAGGCAAAACACCCATACACATAAAATTTTAATCTTGTAAGATGCATAGCTGCATTACTTTTCACTACCAACTGTAAAAGGATGTGCTCTATGGTACTGGAGACTGTATAGGGCCTCAAAGGTGAGTTGTAGCCCTAGCCCAAGGGTGTACCCTAATTAAAGAGTATTCATTATACCTAGAGGACATTCAGTAAATGTTGGCTGAATGGAGGGACCCATGAGGCTGTGCAACCCCTGGAGCTCACAGGTGAATGGAGACAGCCCTACTCAGAGCATGCTGCTGTCTTGCCATGGTTGGCACACAGGCACAGATACCCCAGAAGTGTAATTCCATGAGTCCCTAATAACTTGAGTAGAACAAAAATACACATTTGAAAGGGTACAGTCCATTTTCCTGTATCAAAGCCTGTGTACCAGCCTCACTAGAGACAATAAACAATTTAATCACCCCTACTGTGACAGGAAATAGGCACACATCTGTGTGCTTTTAGTGTTTGCCCAGCAAACCCAGGACCACTAAAAGAAAAAATGTTTCTTCAACTTTGCTATACTTCTTGCCCTGCTCTATGCCCTCCACTGTCCTATTGGAACTGTGGGCCTGACAACAGTAAGGGAGTGATAGCCCTAACTGAATCACAGAAGCAGGGCTCAGAATTTATGAAGTCATTTCACCAAAATGCACTTAACCACAGTCCTGAGAATGTTAAGAGCATAAAACCGAGCCCCCAGGCTCACTACTGACTGTCAGGCTGGCCCTCTAATCTTACCAAGTCAGGTACTAGACAGCTGCCATACTCTAAGGGTTTGATCTAAGCTGGATGTAAGGACAGAGGATTGTCCCTCCAGACCAGGAGGAGGGAGGGTTGTCCCTGCAAAACAGAAGAGACAAAGCTCCTGGTATAGCCCTGGACAAGAGCTGATGGGCTGAGTCAGGGCTATTCTGTTTCAGGTGAATGCTACACTGAATGAAACATCACCTGACTTGGACAAGGAAGCATCTAAGATCCCTTAGAGTCTAGTCAGAACCTAAGCAATGTGGGGTAAAACAAGAATAGCTGCTGGGCCTCTGCTGCAGAGATTACCTAAGATACTTAGTAGAAAGAAAACCCCAGCTGAGGTATAAGGATCATTTAAGCCCTGGAGTTAAGAGCCAGCAGGGGTACAAGAGTGAAACCGTCTCTTGAAGCAAAAAAGGGCAACTCTTACCTGTCATTCTCCCATCCTTGACCCACTTGGTCATATCCCTAGGGGTAAAGGGAGAGGAGAAAGAACTTAAATGCTAAAAAACACTCTAGAATTGATGCATATCCATGCCTTCTGTAATGGTTAATCCTAGATGTCAACTAGATGGATCTGGGATTAACTAAGAGACATACCTGAGCAGGTCTGCATTTTGTAGGATTAACCAAAAAGACCCTCCCCCAGAATTGACAGCACTTTTCATCAGCAGTGGCCCAGATATGAAGAGGTCTGAAGGAAAAGTGCCATGCTGTAACCAGAGCCAGGCAACCTAGTTAAGCAGTACCTACTTAGCCTTCTTGGCCCTCAGCAATTCATTCATACAAGAAACAAAATGCCCTGTGCTTGCTTATGGTTACCAAATGCTATGAGGTCAAAACTGAGACTAGCTGCATCCTAGCCCCTAAATTCTACTGGGAGTCTTGGGAGAAGGTGTGATACATCTCAGGTCACTCCCTGGGAGGGTCATAGGTTCCTGGCAACCACAAAGCATGTAGTAGGGGAATGCTCAGAGCAAGTGAGTCATCTACCCGAAAACCTGCTGAGTGCATACAGACCAAGCATCTGGGGCAGAGCTTTAAACTCTGAGCCTGCTAGGCTACCTGCTGAGGTGCTGAGGTCATGCACAGCAATGGACTTGATACCATCCAGCTGGGGAGAGGGTAAAGTGCGTTTATTTTCTTCCATATGTTTTGTTTTTTTTTAAGTCTCCCTTCTAACACCCAATGTCAGCTGTGCTTGGGCAGTGGGGCCAGGTAGTCCCTAGAAGGTGTGGGAGTAGAAGGCAATGGCGTTCATGCTGTAGTCCATGGGAAGGAGGTGTCCGATGTGCCTGGCCCCCAGGCTGGCACCCCCCAGTGCAGAAGAATGTCGCAGCTTCATTAAGGTGAAGCTAGAGAAGGAGTTCTGTGCCTGTAGTTCTCGGCCCTGGGTCAGCGCCAGGAGAAAGCCTGGAGGGAAGAAGATGAGGATGAGAAAAGACCAGCAGCTTATGTGGAGACTAATGGAGGAGGGGACACATGCTCAGACCACGGCTCTTCAGAAGAGGTGCTGGAGGGACTCACATGCCAAGTATCCAGCATATTGGGGCTCTAGAACAGCTGTGGGTCCTGGAGCCAAGAGCCCAAAGGACTTGCTTTCCCTTCATTTCCAGAGCATGCAACACCCAGAAGTCCTCAGTGCTGGAATCTAGTGGGTCCCCTGAGCTGTTTTAAGAATATCTAATGGAAACCATGCAACTGGCTGAGGCAAGGTTGCACACTAGGATGTTTACTTCCTTCTGGCCAGAATGATGGTGACTAAGGATTTTGCCACAGGTTACTGCGTGTGTTCAGAGCTCTAAGATTTGGCTCTAATTTTTAAAAAGTGATTAATCAATCATGTGGACTAGAGCATCTTTTCAGGAGTTCAAGAGCTAGAGATGGAACTCCATGGTAGAACACAGGCTTAATACCTTATGGTCTGTCCCCATCCAGGTCAAGAAGGCTGGATAGGACAGAGTAATGGGGCTCACAGCAGGCTGAAGGTCTCAGCCAAGGCCCCATTCACACTTCCTTTCCAGCCTGAGCCTCTGCCTTCACCCCTGCACAGACTCACCTTCCTTCAGCAGCTCCCAGCTCTTCCACACAGAGCCCACACACAGAATGGGGAGGCCAAGCTCCCCTTGGAACAAGACCTGGGAAGATAGGCAGAAAACGGATGCTGCAGACTGACCAAGCCGTACCAGTGCCTCGGGTGTTTCCCTAAAGTAACTCCCATCCAGACATTCTCCCTCTAGCCAGGAAACAGAAGGTGGACTCAAGCAAAGAAAAGCAAGGAGGAAAACAGGAGTCATGAAAGTGAGGCAGAGAAGGGAGAGGGTTAAACACCATCAGGGAGGATGGAGAGAAGGGAGGGGACAGCACTACAAGAAACCAATTTGCCACAAACAGATACAGATGGCACCCAATCAAAGGACTCTGCTATAGACTCAACTTTTCTCATACCATAATTTCATCTGAAATAGCATGCAAAATACACAGGGTTTGATGGGATGGTCCCATCACGAAAAGGATGAGCCAGACCTGGTCCAAGCCATCCACCTTCCCATCCTGCCTCAACTCACCGGGTCAATCTCAGGCAAAACTGCTACAACATGTCTGCCTAGCATCTCCCCAGCCTTCCTGAAGATGTATCGGGACAGGGGGTCTCCCTGCTGTGCACCTGAAGTGGGGAAGAGGAAAGAGCTGGAGAATACAGGAGGCAGCTTGCCCTAGCCAGTCTCTCCCTAGGTAAGGTGGCAAGCTCAGGCACATCTAGAAGTGGCCTCAATGTTAGGATGGATGCCCATGTCACAGCATGTGGTTAAGCAAGCTTCCACCCACCACTCCAAATACCTCCCCCTCCAGTGCCCTGGTGGTGCTAGTTCACTATGCCTTAAGAAGGGTGGCCCCCACCAGAGCACCTGGCACTAGGACTAGACTCTAATGACTTTTGTACCATGTTACTGTGACTGTTGCCATGAAATCTCGTAGCTCTGGGATTAAGGAACCCTTCCCAAGAAACCCACTGATAGTCCTGTTGGTGACCCTACCATGCTCTGCAGTGTCCTGTTGGCCAGCTCTGTTTCAAGCCTCAGTTCTGAGATAAACACATCATGAACTGCCCTGGGGAGCCCAAGTCAGAGCAAGCCTCACAGGGAGAAAACAGGGTACAGACATGTAGACTTCTCATGAAGTCAACAAATCTTCCTAAGCCCACCTTCTCCTAATTCTCCAAACTTGTTCAAAGGACAACAGCTTCATGAAGTTCTCAAACCCAGGCCTGCAGGTTGCACAAGCCACATGGCCACCAGGAAGAAAAAAAACAGGTAATCCAGTGCAGCCCTGCCCTCTGATTCCACCCCACCTACCACGTCCAAGGTGAGACACAGGACTCAGGTAATCCAGTGAGAGGCCCAGTGGCCGTAGGCCTGCCCTACTCTAGACATGCCTTTGGGGAACAAAACCAGATACAGCCCTGCCCCACTAGTACCTTCTGCAATTTTCCGGCAAAACCCAGCAAACCTGCATTTATCAAAGTCCCTATACAGGTATGTGAGGATTCCTAGCCGATCTGGCACCTGAAGGACACAGAAGACACAGGAGAGTCACTAGCCAAAAAGAAAACCCTCAGTCTACCACCCAAGCTAGCCCTCTTAATGTGTCTACTGACACAACTAGAACAGTTTTAGGGTGTTTTTTTTTTTTTTTTTTTTTTTTTTTTAGCTCTAGAAAGTATAGGGATTTCAGGATTCTCATTTGAGAAAAGTTTTGTTTTCCCCAATACAATATCACTGCTTGGAAAGATCGCTTTGGTTACACAATCTAAAGAATAGCACACTGCAGTGCTCCCTTGGGAGTCACAGCACACATTAGCAGACCAAAAGCCCCGAGAAGTACTGCAACCAAGAAATAGATAAACCCAAAACTCATCTACCACAAAAAGTTCTTCCTCCCACCAAGAATTTTACACATGTACATTTTATATTGGGGGGGTTAATCTGAGCATCTACACTACAAAAACAAAAGTGCTTTATACACTCATTTAGCTTTGCTAAATGTTTGTAAAAACAAGTAAAATTCCTAAGAACTGGCAGGCATGCTGGATCTGACTGCACTGCCCACACCACTCTGAATTCTGTCCTTACCCACCACCTCTCTACCTTGCTGCTCCTACATCCCTGGGGATCCCCAACCCTCTGCCCTGCAGCCCCTCCAGCATGGGAGTCCCTGGGTCCTATGCTAGGTGTACGTGACCACAGGGGCAAGCAGTACCTGGAAGTAGCTGAACATGGCCTGCTTGACATGACCAATATCATGAGGCGCCGCCTCCAGGTTGTCAATGGAGTCAAACACAATTTTCACAGCTTGGTGTGCAATCCAGTAGGCTGCCAGAAGCAGAGAGGGTGAAGAAGACAACCAGTCTTGGAGGCAGTTTCCTCACCAGGAAGGACTCTTAGCCCAAGAACAGTCAGAGATCTGTTTAGTGGTTCCTCATGGGGGAGGGAGGCTTTTAATCAAACTGCATCTAACTGGCTCAGACAAGAGAAAGCTGGTGGGGAGACTGAGTGGATGAGCCTGTATCATATCAGCTCCCAAAGACAAGGTCAGTCAGCTGTCACACATACCAGCAGTAACAGCATGACTCAGACCCAAAGGTGCCCATGGAAATATACCCATGCTGCCTCAAAAGAGGTGACAGTAGGAGGTGTTTCCACACCCTGTCCCCAGGCAGCTATAGCCTTCACAGTTTCAACCTTTCCTATAGGCCTTCAAAAGTCAACATAGGTAAGTCATGTCATCATGCCACAAATCTGAACTTGGCACAAGAGGCCACTGAGAAGCAAGACTGTAGCTCTGTGATCCTCTAACCACCACCCCTGAACTCCAGAACAGTCAGGTTCAGGAACTGTCCTAAGAGAGCCCAGAGGGCAGGAAGGGAAGGTCCAGGTCCTATGTGTGCTCACCTGAGCCCTCATCTCCCATCATATGGCCCCAGCCACCGCAGCCACTCTCGGAGCCATCTGGGTTGATGAGCCTGCAGTTGGAGCCTGTCCCAGAGATGAGCACGATCCCACCTGGGGAGAGGGCACAGGGTCTCAGTGTGGTCAAGGCCCCACACAGAACAGCAGCTTCCCATTGCAAAAGCGAGGACAGAAACCAGCCTCCCAGCTTGAACATCGTAGCTTGCTTTCTGTTCAGTGGAGGGCAGAGGGAACACAAGTCTGAACTCTTCAAGGGAATGTAGCTCTGTCAGCCAGGTTTCAGGTGACCCTGGCTTTACTGAGTGCCAACTATGTAAGACTACACCAGATATCGTTCTTACAGGGACAATCGGCACCCCAAGGTGCACAGTCATCCCTACTTCTACATACAGGAGGAAACTGAAACCCAAGAAAGACCCATAACTTCTCCAAGATGGAAGAACTGTCAAACCAGAACTGAGATTCAGTATTTAGTTATGGTTTTTTGAGACAGGGTCTCTCTACAGCCCCAGCTGGTCTGGAACTCGCTATATAAACTAGGCTGGCCTCCATCTCAGAGATCCACATGCTTCTGCCTCCTGAGTGCTGGGATTAAAGGTATGCACCACCATATCTGCCCCGTTTTATTTTTGAAAGAGGGTTTCACTGTACCCAGTTAAACCTAGTTGGCCTTGAACTTGCAGTGATCTGTCTGCCTGTTTCCTGAGTGCTGGGAAGTGGTGTGCACTGCCACACCAGTTTAGTGTTTTGTGGTGTCAAGATTCAAGCACTAATCTCAAGATAGCAGTATTCCACGTTAATCACTTTTGCCTCAGTTCCCCCCCAGCTTCTGCCCCCATGGGCTTCTTCCTCGGCAGTGGAACCATATGCTTGGCTTTACTCCTTGCTTCCCACCCAAACCTTTCCTGCCCTCCCTCCTCAGTCCCCTGGTCCCTGCTTTAGCAGGTACTGATGCTCATGAAAGGACAGCTGGGGGAATATGACAGTGGGTACCTTCCAGATATGTGTAAAGACAGGTTCTACCAACAATAGCTAAGGGGCTTTCCCCCACAAGAAAGCCTGTTCTTATCCTCACCCCTCCCTTCACCTCCTCACCATCTGGTGTAGCTGTGGCGATGGAGCCAGCAGCATCGGTAGTGATTAAGTAGTTTTCACTCAGGTAGGGAAATCGGTCCCTTAGCTCTTCCATCAGGCTCCTCACTGCATCCTCCTGCTCTCCACCACTGAGGGACAGACCCTAGGCCACAAGGGAGGGGACTGAGGTGAGCAAGGAGACGGGGCAGCCCGAACCCAGCTCCTTTCTCAACCCCTCCTCCTGACACCAGCCTCCTGCTCACCTATCTGGCAATACCCTGCTCATCCAGCCCAGCCCTCCACCCAACAATGACCCCTCAGAAGGCCATGCCTGCAGGAACAGCCTGGCCTGGGGATGAGTGCAAGAAATGGGGGATTCAGCAATACCATGTTTGGAAGACAGGCAAAGCAAGCAGCTTGGCTCAACATACATGGGGCTGGCTGTGCCTGTAACATCTCCTTTGCATATCTGGGGTGCAACCAGAGCCAGAGCAATCTGAGAGAAAAACCTGAGCTGGGAAGAACATTTAATGAGCTCTCCACTTTGGAATATAACACATTAATCTCACTTCCCCAGCAACTCTGAGTACCTACAGTTTCCAAATGAAGAAACAGGCTTAGAGAAGGTAACTGCCTTAAAAGTCACAAATTGTTGAGAAACAAAGCTGAGATTCAAACCAAGTTTCCAATCGATCTCTGGAGCCCTATGCTCTTACAACATACTCTCAGTTTGTAGGTGGCTTCTGAGACCTTAAGAATGGGCAAAATCATGGGCCTGGGTCCTCGAGGCCTTTCCCTCAACAGTCATCAAACTCATCTAGTCCACACTGGTGCCTCAGTGTTGCTGGCATAAGGCCCAGGCTCCAGCAGACTCACCAGGCTTCGAAGAGGTACCAGAGGATCCACCCCTGCTTTCTGTTTGGCCCTGTTCACCATCTCGTTGATCCTTTCCACACACTTGTCTGTGCCGATCAGCTGGCCCCAACAGGGAAGGAGGCGTTACAAAGGCTTGTAGGACTGTACCAGCTGCCATGAACCCCGGCCACCACCTCAACAGGAGTTACAGAGCACAAAATGAGAACCAAGCCCTCTGGTCCCCTCAGAAGTGTGGCTTTTACCCAGTGGTTTGTGCTCAGTCCATCTGCTTCTGCCAGGATCTGCCCATCCTCCGAGAGTAAAAGGACTTTGGACTGTGTGCCTCCCCTACAGAACACAAGAGGGTACTTAGTTTTATTCAGAAAAACTTGCAGGTGGAGCTAATCTTACACAGTCCCGTTGGGACTAGGGTTCAGTGTGGAGACAGCTTGGGCAAACCCAATCACCATTCCCAAACCCACCTCCAGTATGATGTCTGTTGCACTCTGGTAACTGACATGGTACTTGCTCATTCTTCCTTGGCTATGACCTACTTCCCCTGCAAGACTCATTCATCACCTGGACCCTCAAATTTCTCTGATGTGGGAAAACCCATACATTACTTAAGGCCCCTGGTTAGTACAGATCACTTTGCATCAAGAGTACATTAAGTTTTAGTGTCCGTTTCTCACATGAGTTCTGCTGGATGACAATCCAGAGAATTTCTCTACCCTCCTAACTAGCCAAGCCTGGCAGAAGCAACTTTTGCTAAACACAAGGGAGAACAGGAATCTCTTCACTCTGTAACAGCTAAGAGCAACTTTCAAGACCCAGCTCCAGCTGCGAAGGGCTTCAACACACCCTGTGAGAAATGCTGACCAGATGGCAGGGAGAAATTTATATAGACTTCAGCAATAAACCCTCCCAAGTTAAATCCTGGGTCTGTGGTGGTAGGATGTGTCCTACTGATCAGTACTTCCAGGAATGTCTTAGACACTGAAGATCAACTGATCAAACTCAAGGATGACATGAGTTTCAGGAGGCAAGTTAATGAATGGGGTGGCAAATTAAAAATCCGAAACAATTTCTTAAGAAACTTGAAAAACCGAGTTCTACTTTCTCTAGATGAATATAACAAAGCTAAGTGCAAAACCCTACACTGTAATGAAGTTTTTTGCTTATTCGTCACAAATACAAGGTGGAGATCCACCTTAACTCATGACAGAAGACTTTGTGGTCTGGAAGTCAGCAGTGAACTGTGGCAACTCTGACACAGGACTCACCTTCTACCATGTCCTGATTTTACACACCCAGATTTACAGAATGTTTATCATGCTCAGGTAAACCATCCCGCTCACCCTTGTCCTCGCTTTACATTTGTGGCAACTGAGGCCCAGAGAAGGCAGATGGTTCACTTACAGCCAAGCCCAGGAGCAGAGCTACTACCCAAAGTCTACCAGACCTGCATCTGAGCAGGGAATGCTGGAAGCGAAGGCCTGTAGAGGCAGGCGGCCACAGCGGAAGGTCCTGAGCATCAGGGCAGACCAGAGAAGACAGTGGACCCGCAGCTGCTCAGCCCCCAGGTTCTCTCTGTTACAAATCTCAGTCCTGGCTTCCGCTTCCTCCCCAAATCCCACCGCAACCCAGCAACTTCCTACTTGACACCTGTTCTGCACAACTCTCTCAGGGTCTGGAAACCCGGATGTTCAGGACACGCGGCTCGCCGCAGGGAAGTGCGGGATCCCTTTATTTGTGGAACACAAAAGCCCCGGGGCCGCTTCCTGCACACGCGCCGCGGCCCTGGAAGTGCGGCCACCGCCAGGCACCGCACCGGCCCGTGTTGCCCGTCCACGCTTACCCCTCCACGCCACCGTAGAGAGTGGCCATAGTGCCGTCGCTGCCGTGGGTCCCTCCGTGGCTACCTCACCCGCAGCAGCCGCTTCCCTCCCGCCGGCGTTCCGGTACCGCCCCACGTCACATGACCACTGGCCGCTCACGCCCAGAGTGGGCAGCACAGGCGGTCCTAGCTCCTTCGGCCTGCGGCTTTCAGCCCAGCGCTTCCCCACACGGGGGCTGAACCCTTAGCCGAGAGCCCGGAAGGGCAGGAAGGGCCCGCAGGACGCGACACCCGCCGCCTGTTCCGGAAGCTGCAGGCAGCCCCGCGGAGGCCTGTGGGGCGCGCTTAAGTTGAGGCATTCCCGGCGCTGGGCGAAAATGCCTGCGGTGCCCAGCCAGCGCCTGAGGACCGGAGCCTGCGATACCCAGTCTCTCCCCGAGGCTTCGGAGCCAGAAACGGAGAAGCGGGTTGCCCTGTCAACCCAGGGTTATGGGGTGTTAGAGACCAAACGTAGGACTTCCTGCGTTGCTAGCAAGCAGTCTACATTAAACCGAACCCAGCCCCCTTCTTTTGGACAGTGCCTCTGTGTAACTCAGACTGGCCTGAACACAATCCTCCTGCCTCAGTCTGCTCAGAGCTGGTATTCATGAATCTCTGTCGCCTCCAAGCCACCACCTGCTCCCCTATTCTAAAATGCACAATGGAAGGGAAGGAAGAAAGTAGTAAAGGGTCTGCGAGACAAGCTCCGTTCTTCCTTTGTCTCCTACAGGTGGTTCTGTGTGTCCTCTGGGAGGGCTGTCAGCTATCCTTGACATTTCAAGAACATCAAATATTGCCTCTTAGGGCTAGCCTGCCATTTGTCCAACCCCTGACCCCCCTTTCCTGCCCATCTGTAGAGAAATCTTGAACCAGGACCCTCATTCCCTGACAACTACCTAGCCCTGGTTTTCGAATTTTTTTTTATTATTTTTTGACACCAGGTCTCACATATCCCAGGCTGGTCTCAGACTCTTTGTGGCTGAGGATGACCTTGAACTCATTTGCATCCACCTCAGTGCTAGAATGTGAATTTGGTGTACACCTGCTTTTGAACCTGGATGAATGGAGTCTGTAACCTCATTTCTCATCTATTTGGGATAAAGCACAGACTGAAAAGAAAATCACTGCATAGAAGAGAAAATAGAGGTTCGGTTTTAGTGCCTGCCCGTTCTCATTCATACACATCAAAGCTGAAGATTATTAATCCAACATACATTTTTAGAATAACAGCTAATTCTGGTAGGATTCAAACTGAGCAGAAGTTTTGGCAGGGAAATGAAGTCATAGGTGAATTTTCTCTTTTGCTTATGTAATGAGTCTTGCAATCTACATGTGTGACAGCATTCAATTGTGCCTTTGTATTGCTTATTTTGTTGTGCAGGGTTTGGGTTTTGGTTTTGAGACATCTCAAAACTTGCAAGCTGGCCTTGAACTAGTCCTCCTGCCTCTACTCCCAAGTACTGGATTATAGGCCTGCACCACCTTCCAAATTTTATATTACTTGTCTAAAAAGAATGCAAAAGAGAAAGTTTAATTTGAAGACAAAAATTGAGTTCCAAATTTTCTAGCCAGATGAGAGTTACACATAATTGCTGCTACTTTTCACCTCCAGATTGAAGATAATAAACCTTGGGGCTGGAGAGATGACTCAGAGCTTAAAAGCACATAATGCTCTTGCAGAGGACTCAAATTTGATTCTCAGCTAGGTCTGTCTGGCACCTCAAAACCTCCTGTAACTATAGCTCCAGGAGATTTGATGCACTCTTCTGGCCTCTGAGGGCACTACATTCATGAGCATGCACTTGCCTGCGTGTGTGTGCATGTGTGTGTGTGCCCGCACGCGTGCGCGCGCGCGCGCACACACACACACACACACACACACACACACACACAGAAATAAAATCTAAAGGAAAAATGATAAACTTCCATGGTCCTAGGCTGGCCTGGAACTCCCTATGTCTCCAAGGATCACCTTGAACTTCTTATCCTTTTGCCTCTGCCTTTCAAGTGCTGGAATTACAAACATGTGCCACCATGCCTGGTTTATGCAGTACTGGCAATTGAATTGGCTTTGTGCATGCTAGGCAAACACTCTACCAACTCAGCTACATCCAAAACCCTGTAGCTAATTTTTTACAGCCACATGTGACTGTTAAACACTTGAAAATATACACAGGCTTAGTACAAAATCAGAATCTAAAATACTAACTTTTACATTAATTCCATATTGGATATAGTGAGCTAATTTTTCATATCATTCAAATTTATTTTTCCAGTGCCTTTTTAGCTTTTTAAATACTAACTAGAAAAATTTAAATTACATATGTGTCTCATGTTTGTGACTGTTGTATATAGTGTTCTGGATTTTTTTCTCTGGTCCATCCAGACCAGAATATTTCAAAGCCACTGAGTTGCCCATTTATGAAACAAATACCAGCGTATGATTGATTTAAAGAAAATAGTGCATTGAATAAAAGCTAAAAATGCTATCCATTGCTCATAATTCTCTCTCTTTTTATGGTGATACTGGCATTTGAACCTAGGACCTTGCACATGCTAGGCAAGCACTCTACCACTAAGCTACATGCTCTTAATTCTTTAAAGCGTTTTATGTACCTTTGTCATGCTAAAACTATGTTATGAAATAAATGACAAGAGATTCTTAACCACATATTAAAAGAGGGGAAATTGAGGCTCAGAAATGAAATTAGCCTGGGCTCACACAAATAATGGATGTTTACTATAAGTGTGGGTGGTTGCTACAACTGTAAGGAGATAAAGATGTCAAAATACAGGAAAGTGTTCTTTTGCCTCTAGGTAGCTTTGTAAAGGTTTAATGCCCTTCTACCCTCACCTGCAACATCCCAGCAGCTGCTCCCATGATGTTCACGAGGTTGATAATGTTCTGGAAAGAATCTGCAAGCCACAACTTTATTCTCTATCTCTTCTCCTTTGGCCCTGTGGCTTCAGGGAGACCACAGTTTCAGAAGAGGCAGGACAGGAGGAGGAAGAGGGACAGTGGAAAATACCTAGCATGACAAATCCACATAAACTTGGGGGCAGAGGACTCTCCACTCAAGGTCCTTAACAGATTCTATTATTTAGTCCATGCAGCACAGCCATATCTGTTGCTACTCACTGCTGTGTTTCCAGAGTTAACCTCACTACCAGATACATGATAGGCGGTCCTGCAATGACTTTGAGAGTGATAATGGATTGTAAGACACTGTCCTGACTGGGAGCAATGGTAGGTACTCCACTGTGAGCTGTTGGAGGGAGCAAGCACATTCTATGGCAGAAATGGTTTTCAGAGAAGGACATTAAAAACATAAGAAATGAAATTGCAAAGTGAGTAAGCAGGAGCTAGATAGGCAATCTGGGGGTCTGGGAGGGATCTCACTGTAAATATTTCCAATACGTGTCTGACTGCCTCTCTGTGTTTAACAATCTGGCAGGTTCCATAGACCAGTGCCATCTGCTACCACTGGCACTATCCCCTGCATGCCTTTGGTCACTGGTACCCAGTCTTCTGACATCTGAGCTTCCCCAGGAGCCTTCTGGTTGTTAGGTCTGCACTGCTGTTTTGGGGGTCTGACCCATTGTCAAGATCAAGTGTGTTGATGCCCCTCTCCCCCTGAGCTCTGGGCTCTCCCTCCAGTCTTCATTCTACAGGAATCAGGAAAGAAAGAGGAACATAATGTCACATGACCATATGACACTCCATAAATCTATTAGCTATTTTTCTCATTACTGTGACAAAATATCTGGCAAAAGCAATTTTACAAAGGAAGGGATTATTTTGGCTCAAAGCTCAAAGCACAGCCCATTGTGGTGGGGATGGCATGGCAGCAGGAGCCTAAGGCAGCCCTTCACATTGTATCAGCAGCATAAAAACCAAGCAAGCAAGCAACCAAAGGCCCTAAACCTTTTCAAATTCCAAGATGCTTCACACTGAGGTCAGGCGTGGACTTTTTTTTTCTATCTTGACTGAACCAACAGCAACTAGGAGACCATTCTCTGGGACCAGCAGCTCATCATTGTTAGGGCCTGAGGACAAAGCTGGGCCTGCACAGGGGACATGAGACTGGCACCTTCCACTCCTTCTGTCTCTAAATTCTATTTCAGCACAGCTTTATCTGCTTTAGCCTGTTCTGGCCCCAAGGTGATTTCTCAGCTCTCAACACCCAGAGCAAGGACTAGACCAGGCCCAGAAGGGAGAGATATTACCCACTGCCTTTTTTCAAAAATAGCCCTGGCTAACTTTGAACTTGCTATATAGCTAAGGATAACCTTGAATTCATGATCCTCCTTGTGGGGTCACTCCCTTCCCTCGTGGGTCGTTGGCCACCGGTCCATGAGGACAAAGGGAGCAGAAGTGACGAACAGGGTCAGGATGGCCAGTGAGCACTGACAGAAGAAAGCCCTTCCGGGGAGGCAGGTTCAGTGATGCAAACAGCTCCAGACTCAGTGAAACAGCTCTGTTTATTCAGTGGGGGTCAGGGAAAATATAGTGTGGAGGCAGCAGCCAAAGCTTCAGCCAATAGGTGCTCATAGTGTGCTTTATTTACATGTGGCAGTAGGCTCCTATCATCCGACTATGGGGCAATGCCTAATTATCATATAGAAAAAACCTGGGGGTAGTTTTTACTCCAGGTAACTATGCTAAAGGTAATGTTTTAAATGAGGCCAAGCATCCGTGCTTGGTGGCACTTTCCAGGTTAAGTCAGGCAGGAAGCTCCTGCTGAGAAAGGAGCCAACCTTAACAGCAGGGTTCCCCAACACCTCCTGTCTCCACATCCCAACTGTTAGAATTACAGGGTCTGCTACTATGCCTGGTTTACATGGTGCTAGGAATTGAACCCAGGGCTTCATGCATACTAGGCAAGCACTCTACCAATTGAGCCACATTCCTAGCTCCCAACTGCCTCTTGTATACTCTCTTAGCAGATATCACTAGGGTTGTTGACCCAGTGTTTTGTTGTATTTTTGTGTGTTTATTTGTATATAAGACTCCCTGTCCCCATCCCAAGCTGGGGTACTGGGGGAAGAAAGGCAAGCAGTGCACATTTGCCCTGACTCTGCAGGCTCCTGATGGGAGCAGATGTGGCAAGAACATAGCCACTGACTATGAGACAGGCAAGGGCAGTTTTGAAACAGTTCCTGGAGGAGGTAGGATTTGAGGCTGGCCAGCACGGTGGAATGTATTCTAATCCCAAAGT